AGACGCGGCTGTCAATGGCGACGACGCCGTCAAAACATGCCTCGATAATTAATACGCGTATTATTAACAGGTCTCGTTACTTGCCGCTGGGAATTCGAGAACAGCCGCGTCCCATCAATTAACAACTGTCCTTCCACTCTTGATGGATGGAAACGATATCCCCCTCTTCGCGAATCAATCATTTTTATTGACCTCTAGTCGTTGAAGTAGCTAGGATTATAGAGAACGTTTGTGCGTTAAGAATACTAATTAATTGCGTTTAAGTATGCCATATTTGCAGCCATCAGTTTTATGTGACTAGTAAACTTGAAACACGACTTCAATTCAGAGAATATCTCTGTACAATACGTTGAATTCTTTCAATCTTCTCGATTTAAACGAACACTGGATAAACCTACCAGTTAAACTGCAAAGAATGCAATCGCCACGCGCTGTTTTCAAGACATTTAACAGAAATGTGATGGATAATGGAATTTCATGTATATGTAACCAGAAATTTTAAATACTTTTGTTTTAGTATTAAATACATCTGCTTTGCTATCTTTTTCTCATATGTAAAAGATAAATATGAATTGTTGAATAATAAACAAACTGATGTCTTTGATTGTTTAAGCGCTAGTTCAAATTCATATGGTTTTCCGAATATGCTTTTTAATAATTTATTTAAATCTGTGATATTATACGTAAGATATAGAGTGCAGATAGCATAAATAAAAGTAATCTGATATTTGATATTAATAGAAACAGTTGAATTCGACGTGATGAATGTTCCATAGCGATTTTTCGTTTCCCGTTGATAAACCGGCTCCGGCGGAACTGGATCGATTCGGATTTGTATGAAACGTCGAGCATGCGAAACGCACGGAAAATTAGTAGTACGCTTGGACGTGGGTGATTGGGCGACAGGTGCAACAGGTAATTGCGGTTGCCGACGCTTGTTTGTAGAAATTTGCATTTGCGTGTCGTCGAGTCTACGGCACACTCTCCTCCTTACGCGAATTCCAATTAGCAGCACAACGTCACTCTGATCTGTGTATAATAATTCACTGTTCAACTCGATTTTTTTTCATTTCGTTCCTGTTTTGAATTATGGACTGAAAATATGTTCCTGGTCACTGGAACCCCGATATTTCACCTGATCTCTCAGAAACTGTATGACAATTGTAATATACACTTAATTCGATGTAGAGTAAATTAGTAAATTATTTTTTATTTGTTTATTCTATTAATGTTTAATATGGAGAATAAAATACTTTAGAAAAAGGAGGATTAATGTTCAATTTCAAATAGAATTTGAAAGAAATCCATGAGAAGTACTTCCTTAGAAATTTTCTTAATTGTGTACGATTGTAAAATTGCATATGAAAATTATAGTAATAACTGCAATGATGTAATTAATACTTAGCCTCATAAAATGCGTAAAAAGGTAATTTAATTATCTCATTTATTTGATGATGTACTAATCTAAAATCAATATACGGAATATTAATCTATCAAATGGCAGATATCGTGCCGCATTAAGCAGAGTTTCACTTCCAGTATATGCGCGTATATGATACGGATACAAATTTATTTTCTCCCGGGAGTGTGCGATTACGCCTAAAAACCCGTTCCGCGTATCGAATCGTGTTATCGTTTCTCACATTTTTGCCCCTTTCCCGTCCCTTTTTTAATGTTACTCGCGCATAAAATAGTCGTTAACGAGACAAGCAAGACAGAAACACGAAGCGAAATCGCGTTACCGGCTACAATTAAATCGCGATCCCGACTGGATAATTAACTTCTTCGTAAAATTGTTGCTATACACGTTACTTCAACGCTAAGCAATTTAGAGACGAGACTGCAATCGCAAATCTTAGAATCCTAAGAACCGAACGCAGCTCTTAGCATTATTCACTCGTTAATAGTTTCCCGCTTCTTGGATTAGTCTTGGATTCTTTACATTTCCATTTCTTGGCTTTCAAAGCCTCGCTCCTTTCCGAACAGACGTTTCGATTCGTTTATTGACTTATTCCATCACTTCGAGACTCATGTTTACTTTCTAGTTTCACTCTTCACGACAATTACAATGTAAGAAAGACGTTTTTAAATGTCGACGATCGAAAGCAACACTTAACAAAATATTAAATTTTATATTACAGCTTTTTAGATGTTAATATTCTCCTATAATTCAAGGATCGGTACGTCGTTAACTATGAAACTACACTTAACATGCCGATGTGGAAATTGTTGAAATCTTCGCGAAGAACATAACATCGTGGCAGCGGTAAATGATCCTTTAATATTCCAGCGATGTTCCTAGCCGGTTAGAGGCGATAATCGAATGTCTAAACAACCGCGAGAATCGTCGCTCCCGTGTTACATCAGGAACGTGCGCGAGGATCCAGGTACTTGAATACGAATTGATAATTAACGCTATTATCCGTCGTTACGAGATGCGAATCAATTGGCACTCATTTTCTTTTATTCATTAACTGAGCAAGAAAATTGCTACAATGCTTTTCTGCCGGAACATCAACAGGACGCACATCTACAGAAAAAAACTACACGATTTCTGTTTAATACTTATCCATCCCCTGTGCCCGTTTAATACACGTGACTCAAACATGTTTTTTATCTAGTCACTGAAAAGTAATAATTTCTTAAATCTGTTACAATAATTTCTTCCTTTCATAAAAGATTTCACTTTTATTATTAGGTATGTATTTCTCATTACATTAGTGATCAGGACTATTTCACGCAATCGCATTATAGGATGGAATGTGTATAAGTCACGAGAGATTATTTTTCTACCTGTAGAGGTTTCTACTTGAATTCAAACTACATTTCATACAGTCGTATGTATACGAATAAGTAATACATAACGTGTTCCATATACTATAGGGTGAGGCGCAAAAATGATTCGTTAATTTTTATTCACATGCGTCTTCGTTGACGATCTCATAATCCGAGACATTGACAAATCACTGTGTTTCACTTGTCGTCGATTCTACAAAAAGGAACGACACCTTCTGCGAACCCGTCATTAGATGCACGTACGTGCCTCGAAACGTGTCTTTATCCATGCCATAACTGGGCGTTGGATAAGAAAAAAATTGTCTGGACTCCAAGTTACGCGCTTCCTATACAGTTATGTAAGGTATCGTGCAAACATTTAATGATCTCTGTTCTCGTTACTGTTAATATATATCTCGTGGAACATTTATAAGGATTAAGTAATGTTTCATTTCTTCTACGGTTTGCGCGGGGAGTATGCGTTAACGTATAGCATGGAATTCAATGATAACATGTAACAAGAGAATCCCCGCTGTCCCTGTTGGTTTTATAATAGGTAGATCAATGATGTCTCTTCCTTTTCAGGGAATTCCGTTAGGCCGGTCCTATTTGCACCGTTATATGTGCTTTCCGATCGACCGATCGTTTACCTTTTATTTCCTCATCGAGGATATTGTTCACTCGTAGATATTCAACTTGGTTTCATAGTTATATTTCATATTATAGGAGACAATATATTCTCTTAATAATATACATTCGTATAATGTATGTTATTAAAATATATAAAGTGAAATCCCGAAAATGTTACAGCCAATTTATTATATTTGCCATTTTAATTAAGTATTCTGTTGTTTCGCTATCGTAGTGACAAAACGTGTTACGATCTATTCAGAGTAATTTGATTAAACAGTATAAGTTAGCCAATATGATTTATGCGATCGTATCTGAGGATCGTGGCATTCTCGTGTTTCGAACGATTATGTTGATTCGAATAAGCGTAATACACGAAAGGCATGTAGGAAATGACAGCGAGACGACGGCGACGACGATATTTCATGGATGGTAATTAGCAGCACATTGCTCGGCAATACGTTCAATCATTTCAACGAGGATAATTACCGACACGATCGTGCCGTTCAAGATCGTAAATCGGGTTTCGCATTCCGCGCAATGCAAATGCATGACGTAACGATTCAGGCGCCTCTTCTGCTGGATTTGAGGCGCCTTCTTTACTGGATGAAGGCGCCTCCCTGTTAAAGACGCCTCTGTTTCGACTACATACTATGTAAATACGTAGACCGGGTGAATCATTCCGTTGTATACATCGCGCTCGAGTCAAATTTTCATGCTGATAATCGCGACAAACGGTAAATTCATCATAGCTCCACGTGCCTGTCCTGACTAATCCTTTAGCTGTCAGTCTAATTATGTACTCATGAATAATTGGTGGAAAGGTCATCAAACTGAAATGTATTCGTACATTAAATTGAAACAAACTTAGAATTCAACGATGCAACGCGAAAACGTTCGATTCCATGGAACTATGCAATTTTTTCCAAAGGTAACAACCTGGATACCAGTTATGGGTGTAAGAAACGCGATTCGTAGGCATGCGCAAGTGGTCGTGAAAGATAGCGTAGAAATGCGTCAGCAATCTTCCTAGAATATCAAACGATGTGGATAAATTCAAGGAAAATCGTGAAAGAATTAGTCATCCCGCGAAATGTCCGGTTAGTTTTTTCGTTGCCGCATTCATTTTAAAGAGAAGTCGTAAAAGAGAGGAAACCGCTTTTGTAACGTGCGGCAATACGTTGCCCGCACAGATATGCATATGCATACATTCGACGTCTTTAGTAAAATGATTCATGATAATTAGTCACTACGCCCTGGTCAGACATTTTTCACTGTACAGAATTTTATTTGAAAATAATTAATATAATATTTGTTTAAAGATCCGACAATATTTATAACAAAATATGTCCACTAATAAAATAATAAAATAATTCAATAATTAAAACTATTATTTATACTTCCTTTAGATAATTGATCGTATAAAATTAATCATAATTATTGCTAATCATAGAATAGTTTAATATATGTAAATAGCTTGTAAGAAATAAACAGACTCGATTACATAGCTCGTAATACGTATTAGGTATAATACTACGGTAACGTGTTCGATGCTTGGCATACTTATTGCGCACGGCGTGTATTGTATGTTTTAGGAGGAGTGTAGGAAAAAGATAGCAGAGTGCACAATGAGTGAGGGTGCGAGCACACCGGTATGCGGGAGCGACGGTGTTACGTATTCGAGTCAGTGTCGGGTCATTTCGAAGCAGTGTCAAGGCATGTCTATTCTTATCAAACACACTGGCCCTTGTCCAGGTAGGATGATGCATTCTCCTCGTGGCAATGTTAGTAATTATTATACGGTACCTTCGTCGTTCAATCACATTCAATCAACAACTTGTATTACGACTGTTTTTTTACTCTTATTTATTTATCATAAATATTCTTTAGGTGTACAAAATATTTTCTCACATAATTTTTTTTATGACATTTAATTTATCACATAATTCATTTTCATTTAACATTTTATATCGGTTTTTTACTGAAAACTCTCATCTACTTTTATGACTCTTAAGTTCACATGATGAAGCGTCTAGTGAGAGGATCAACGTTAATGCGAGCACTTTCACACCTCATTCGATTTCTGTTATGTTCAATTCTCCATAACCATCATTAGTCATGAGACTGATCTCAATGCAAATTTACTTACCATAAAGTTTAACGTTAACTTCTGTAAAAACTGTACAAACTTTTTGCCATTCTATGTACTAAGAAAGAGAAGAAATGATTAATAACATAATGCGATACGTAGATTATTGAGGTTGATACATTGAATTGTAAATGCCAAGAGAATGATTTCTAATGAGATCAAAAAAAGAGTATCGTAGAAGACATCTGTTCTTCTTCTCTTCCTTACTGAACGTCGTTGAAAGAAGTGACGCGTATAAAGAAACCGTGTATCAATCGTAAAAATGATAACGTCTAACAGGAAATTGACGATTGAACCTGTCTATCTAGAGACACCGGCTTGTTTCTCCGCGAGATTGACCGCCAGGCCTGGTGCGCGCCCAGTCTGTCGTCCGGACGGCACTTACGCACCGGTGCAATGTCATGAGGAAACCGGGTACTGTTGGTGCGTGACGCCGCAGGGCAGACCGCTTCCCGACACCTCGGTAAGAAACGAAAGACCAAGATGTGTGAAAAAACCTGGTCCGAGATCTGCTGCTTCCACCAGGAGCGGCCAAAGGAGGCGCTCACCGAACTGGAAGCAGCGGAGGCAATATAGCAACAAGCATAGGAACACGTGCGATCGGGCGGAGAAGTCCAAGTTCAACGGGAATCTCATAGAAAATTTCAAGATCGAATACAGGCGGACAAACATCTCCGCTGACGGTGAGAACTTTTACAAATAATACATCGCGTACAGGTCGACGTCCTGTTCTCCACTTTTACATTTTCCTGTCGGAAATCATTTGTTATGTTATATTATCATCCACTTCTATGTGTCAAATCGAAAATGAAGCAATTTGGCGATTGCCAATATGATTTATAGTACATAAAGAAGTAATTGACAATGTCGTCCAGTAGTACATGTATGTATTGAGTTAGAGAGATAATGGATAGTTGAATTTTGTTTAAAGAATAGTATAAAAACTTCTTTCCAATTGTATAATTATCGTAATTCATAAATTTCTATTACGTTCATTTCTCACTAAATAGGCGACAAAAATGTGGAACGAGTATTGTCATGGAAATTCTTAACGTTGGACAAGAACGGCGATGGCTATCTGGACAGGGCTGAATATAAGGAGCTGAGGAGGCTGGCGAAGAAGGCGGTAAGACCGAAGAAATGTGCTCGCACGTTCGCCCGCACGTGCGACCTAAATCGGGATTTGAGACTCTCCAGGCAAGAATGGGGTGCCTGCCTTGCGAACGACTTCACTCGTAAGTTTAACACGTGGTGCACGTGCTTCTCACACGAATAAGGGAGATTCCCGACGATCCCTTCGACTTCTTAAACGCGATGCTTGCACGATCTAAGGATTTTCGATCCTTTCAAATAAATCCTATTGAGTTCACGGAAAATTTAGTTAAAAATAGTGATATCGACTATATAATTCAAGATCCTCAATTTAAGCTAACATTACTAAGGCTGATTTCATAATAGATGAGAGTCCATAGGAGCCAAGGTTATTTAATGCATACATAAATCAATTTTGATATTTGCGAAATGGCCCGGCGCCGTAGTATTACGTCACGAAAAACTATCACGTCTGTGATTATTAAGAATGTGTATTGGCTATACAGTCAATCCCAAAAGTTCATGTACCTTAGAAAAACGCATTTCCTATAATTAAAAAGAAATCAGACGTCGGAAGAACAATGCTAATAATAAATAGCTACGTGCTAACAAGTATAGAAGGATATATCCAATTATTGACACTGGCGAAATGTTTTTTGTAGCTATTGACGTGTTCTACACGAAAAGTTTTATGTATTTTTCTTCTAATTTGAGTATTTAACGAGTTAGGTATGATTATTTGGCATTTTATTGATG